TTTAAATTTAATTTTTATTTCACAAAAATATCGTTTTAAATTTTTTATGCAAAATTTTAAACTAAATCTCTTTTTTAGCTCCATTATTTTGGCTCAATAGAAAACTCATTTTTAGTGTATTTATAAAGGGTAAAACAAAATTTTAAACAATTTTCTTATTTTGTGTAAAATATGTTTGAATAACACTCTTTGCGAAACATAAAAAGTTATACGGTAATGACACTATAGTTTTTTCATCTGAAAAAATCAAAATCAAATGTAGTGTAATCTTCGAAGCTAGTATCGAGTTTAAGATGTAGTCTAAATTCTCTCAAAACGTGGCTTTATATTTAACTGGTTGAGCTGCTAATACCGAATTTAACGACATTATTACGATCATTTGAGAATTTATTGTGAAATATCACTGTTTCTTTTTTTTTTTTTTTTTTTTTTTTTTTTTTTTTTTTTTTTTTTTTAAAAAAACTATTATTATATTTATCTCCCAAATGGGCTTGGGCCGAATCTACAAAAGTCCAGTCCAGTTACAAAATACGAAATCGACAGTTCACCGGAAAAACAAAAGAAGCTCGCCGTTTGTTGATAGATGCCCGCAGAGCTACCGGAGCCTGAAATCCGGCGGGCTCAAGACCCAGAGTTTTGTGGCTGCAACCGAAGACAGTGAAATTTCGGCGAAAGAGACCGGTTTCCGCCATCAATTTCATGCCTCCGACGAACCAACCCACCACAAGTCTCCCGGAAAGCTAGACACTCCGACTAAGCACATCGACGGAATCAGATCCTGAAGAAGCAATCCGACTCACTGGACGGAAACCCCTCTCTTCCAGACCAGCAAAACACACCAAGATCCCTGAGCTTTGGCGAATCGATCCGGCTCGATGGATGCTAAGTTGTGGCGGATCTAAAGGATGGTGGCTCAAATCCAAACCCTTACACCCGACATCCACAACCGCCCTCTAAGATCCTATGGATCTGCAGCTAACCACCGAGCAAACAACGAACCCACCTTAATCCCCCCAACTTCCGCCGTGAACGCAGCTTGAGACTGACGGTTGAGCCGGAGGAACTGAAGCCACTCACGACGTCCCAACCATGAGAGAACCGCTGCAGTAGCCCTCCTCCATCAGACCCGAGCCACCTCCACGTCGAAGGGAAAACGCCACACCACCGTTGACAGAGAAACGCGCTGGCTCACTCCTGGACCGCTTTTGAGTAGATTCGACCGACAATTGAAGAACAAAACAGAAAAGAAACTTAGATCTGAGAAATGAAAATCGTCTTCACGAGAGAGAAAAAGACACGACTAACGAGGCAACGATTGGGCAGGTTTGGGTTCACCAAATATCACTGTTTCGAATAATTGTAAGAGGGATAAAACACTACTTTAAGCCATTTCTAAAAATTTTATCGATCCAAGATCTTTGTCCGGATCCGAACGAAAAAGGGACACGAGCTAGTGAGGAATATAGACTTATGTCTCGTTTACCATATCATATGGCAAATAAAATCTAAAATATATTCCAACCATAAAATCCGTGCAATTTTCTTTTTAAAGGTACATTGTTTTTGGTCAGTAATAGAGTATATTTTAGTAAGGATTAAATTCATCAAAGAAACAAAAATTGTGATGGAAATGAATCATTTTCTGCCCGATTGTTATCATTTTCCAGTTTATGAAGAAAATTATAGGATTTTATTGTTAATTATGTAGCTAATGAATTTCTCTATGAAGAAAATACTATATTATAAATCGTTAGAAAGTCAATCTGTAATAAGGGCTCGTGGTTAGTGGACTAATATAGTAATATCTATTTCAATTAGTATTATAAAATAAGAACTTTTTTTTTTTTGCCAGAAAGAATTAAACAATGCCCGTGATAGTATCTAGCTATCTATCCAACCTAACACGTCCATGTTTCTTGTCAGTCGTCACATTGTAAAACAGTAAAAGATCCACTTTATTTTTCACCTATGCTTTAATAATATCTAACTAAAAGATCATTATGTACTTTAATACCACAAAAGTCTCGTGCAAACTTATTACTATGAACCAACCCGTGTTTAAAAAATCGCTAGGCGCTAGTCGGGCGGTGAGGGTGCGTCTAGCGCCTAGCAAGAAAATCGGGGATTACACGGAGATTAATCGGGGATTAGTTTTAGAGCTATTTAATGTCTTAAAAACATATTAATCCATTATAATTAAGAAATTTATATAATATTATTTTTAAAATTGTATTAAACACATGAAAAAAAAAGATTTTAATTTCAAATTTATGATTTTTATACAAATTACGAACATAAATAGGACGTTTTGAATTTTAGACAAAAAAAAAAAAAAAAAAAAAAAAAGGGCTAGGCGGTCTAGGCGGACGAAAAATCGGATCTCCGATTTTTCTCACCGATTTGGACAAAATCGCCGTGGTGCTCCTCCGATCAGCGCCTAGGCGGCTAGGCGGCCGATTTTTAAAACAAGGGAACCAACTAAACTGAAATATCATTATGTACTTTAATAACTTAGTAATGGAGATCAAAATATTGAACCAACTGAAAAGAGAGTAAAAATTTGACGTAAAAAAAAGCTAGGGATAGGATTTTGTAGTGTCATTTTCTCAAGGTTTTTCTCTCTAGCTTACCACTTGATAATTGTTAGACATCTTATATATATCATGTATAATCCGGTATAATGCTATCAAATATACCATACTACATATATCGCACACATAATTATGTTTTGCGGATGATTTAATGGTATTCAAACAGAAAATTACTTACGTTAGTTGGTATATATCCGTCTTAGTCTTACCAGGCCCGCTCAATACTATGGACTGTCTAAAGCCAAAAACAAAAATTTATGCCCATAAATATTAAAAATATAGAAAAACGTTGTTTGGGAAGTTTGAACCCGTGTTATAAGAAAAGATAAATTTGGTGCCATCAAAATGTTATATATATATATATATTTTAGCGCCTAAAGCCCTTGCTTGTTGGGCTTTAGGTCAGGGCCGGCCCTGCGTCTTACACTCTTACCCTTTAAGAAAAAAAGAAATTAAAATCTTAGGTTTATAGTTTCCTCGAACCAAATATCGTAGCAGTGTTAAATTAGCTTGTTTACGTCATTCTTATTCATACTCGTGATGTTAGAGATTATTTCTTTTGAATGGTATCTTTCTACACTAGTTGAAATATCGACGCCAGATTTCATTCGCAAAGAGATGAAACCGTAACATTAGTTGAATGAAACGGATAAGAAACCATGTGTTATGTAACACGATGATAGTTTAATATTGCCAATCAAATTTTGTTGAAAGAAGCCTAATCACGAAAGTATGTGGTCCGTACGTTTTGTTGGTGCAAAACAATCAACAATATAATACTAAGAAGAAACCAACGAAAATAGACTATTGTGGGTTTTGTTGAGCGTAAATGTTAATCCTAACATTGTTTATTAGTCCATTTTTTCCAACCTAAAGAGGATTCTTGATTGATCCATCACTAATGCCTATCACGATCGTCACCATCAGATTACATATTTTAAGGTTGAATGGTCTTTGTTAGTATATTAAATATCGTGATGGTTTTTTAGTTAGTCAATTTCACAGATATTAGAGTAAATCAACAAAGATCTTGAATGATCAAGAAAGGGATCACTTCTTTGTCATAACATTGAGACTAATAAATGTAAACGACATTTTCCAGATACTATATACCAATCATCGTTTGAAAATATAATGATGAAAAGTCAATCGAGTTATTTGACCTGTATTCTTTGATTGCAATGCGATAAACTTCAAATAACCAATGTTCTTTTTACCATTGATCTTTCTAATGACGACGCAAACCCAGTTTAATATTTTTTTGTTGACTAATCTGTAAATTAATCATGTACTTTAACTACTGTTTTTCTGATTAATGATTAAGTTTGAAAAACTGAGTACCAAACAACCTTGCAAGTGTAATCATTTTATGTAATAATTGTCTAACCAAAATCATCTCTAAAATAAAGTAGTAGGAGTATAATAGTTGACTAGTAGTAATGTACTATAACGTTGTATATCCGCTGTCATCTAAAATGATAAATAAACCATAAAAATTAAATGGTCCATAGGCAGATGGCCTGCTGTTGACTTTTAAGGTTATCAACCTTTGCCATCGTATAATATCGATTTTATATAAACTTTTTCGTCACGAATCTATCGTAAAATATCAGATTTCTTGTATGTAGCTCGTGATTATTAAAGAAAAATAGCTCGTGAGTATGATTTGGACCCAAAAGACATTGAAACAGTTTGACAAAAAATAAACACAAATAACTATTGCATGTGTTATGGGTAGTAGAAGTGTGGCTGATAAAAGGAAAAAAAAATGAGTGCGAAGCTAGATTTTCATTGTGACGAGAATAACACCTATAAAAATAGTTGTTGTTTCTGGTTTGACTCAAAATATTGGGATTTTTGTAGAAGAGACATTTTTTTTCTGGAAAATCTAACGGATTTGTTATTTTTTAATATTTCAAAATGTATGTATTTACGATTTTTTTGGTAAAAATACGTATTTTTACCAAATATTAAACCCTAAAAACAAATAAAACCGACTAAACTCAAACATAACGAGTAAAACACATATTAAATCATATTTTTATAACCCGAAAAATAACAAATCTATAAACACTACAAGAAATATCTACATTAATAGCATATGACGATAGCTCATTTTTCGTAACTGTTATGATAGATGAATTTTATTTTTGATTACTATATAATAGCACTGAAACAATGCTAAGAAAAAAAACCACCAAATCAGAAGCGAAAATCACTTATTCCGCCAATACTTAGATGAAAAATTCACCTAAGCGCTAGAAACTTCAGATCCAAAAATTTGAAGTGTTATTTTTTTGTTTGGTAGAATTTTTTTTTAAGTATTATAGTGTTTAGCCCAAAGCCAAAAAAAATTTACTATCTTTTTACGACAATACAAAAAAAAAAAAAAAAATCCCCCAAATCAAAACCTAGGTCTCATCGACTTCGGCTCCACTGTGAGCTCGTCGCCGGCGTCATTTCGCGTCCCTTCATTATCCTTCAGTCTACAGCTTGGTTCACGAACTCGGTCGATTCCTCTAATGGAGACAACACCAATCTGGACAAGGATCGAGACCGAGATCAGGAACGAGAACGTGACTGCGACTGGGAGAGAGATAGAGGGCCAGATAGATACTGCAATAGGGATAGAGACAGAGAGCAAGAGCGAGAGAGAGACCGTGAGCGTGGTCGTCGTGAACGTTATCGTGAACCGGATCAAAGAAATAGAGATATGGTTCAAGAGGAGGAGGCTAAGGCTAGGAAGAAGGTAAGGGTTGAGAAATTGGTTGAGAGAGAGAGGGAGAAAGAACTCATTTGATATGAAGGTTTATGAGAAGATTTATTTGTTTTTTTTTGCCAGATTTGTGTTAGTTTCTCTAGCTCGATGCTTAGGTTAATTGTTGCTGTAACTTGTCTTCGTTTTATGTTCTTACTGTGATAGGAAGCTTGTTGACAAGGTTGCAGAAGCTGGATTCTATGTCGTGGTTCCTGATGTCTTCCATGGAGATCCATTGTTAGTTGTTGATTGCAAAGCTAAGAACAAGACAATGGACTTATCTCTTTGTTGGATAATAAATAAACCATGGTCCACTGACATGAGCTTACACATGGCTTTATCTTTCCTGTTTTGTGTTTAATCTCAGCAAAAGTTGCGGTGGAAATGGCAAAACAGAAGCTTGTTGACGCTACTGTTTTATTACATCCTTCTAGTGTGAACAAAAGATTAAAAAAGAGTGAGAGTCATCAATCTTGCTGTAAAAGATGGTAAAACACATAGAAGCTTTCTTTTGATAAACTCGGGACTAGGTACAATAATCAGTTGTGCAGTTTGTAATTGTTGTTGTTTTGCCTTTCTTATAGGTGAATTAATCTTTTGACGCTAGAGAAATGGAGTATGTGTGGTTAGTATCTTCTGTTTGTTTGATACATGGTGAGATCACATTTGTTTTGAAATTGTTTCCTAATGGTAAGTTTGATAATATGGGTTTTGTTTGTATTGCTTCGGTTATATCTTGGCACGATTAGTTTTATGAAAATATTGATGGTGTTTTTATTTGATTGCAGGTTGGAGTTTGTGGAAACAACGTCATGAATAACCAAGTAACAAGTGATCTCATGTATGAGTTTCTGTTTTTTTTTTCCCGTATGAATCTATAAATTATTTTATGGTTCAATATATGTTTTGTCTTTAGTGAGGGTATTGGATAGAAAGCTTCGATTCATCTTTTGGTGAGGTAAGCTTTCACTGGATCTCAGATATTCTTAAGAAAAGCTTTCGGTGGATCTTAGATATTCTTAAGAAATTTCTGATTCTAAAAATTCTTGTGTTCTCTGTGAAGTATGTTCTTCATAAGCTATAATTCAAATTAATGGTCTCTAGTTAAGTTGTATTCTTGTTTTTCTCAGATTCAGCTGTGGTAGGTATTGGTAAGACACTTTGCTGCTCCAAATACCTTTTCTAGCTTATCTTTCCTTCTTTCCTCACGCTTTTATATGTAGTCATTATCTAGTAGAAGCATTTGAAAAACTCACTTGCTTTACTTATACAAAGACAGCCAACGACAAAGAAAAGAACCAAACTGCAGAGAATATGGAGAAGGCAGTGAAGTGTGGACATCAACCTAAGTTCTTGGAGGGAGAGAAAGAGCAAACCAATGTAATTCTTCGTTTAGTCCATCTGAATTGCAGTACTTATGATGTTGTTTAAGACCTTTTTTTAACAAATGGTGTTCAATGCTACACTATGTAACTTTTGATGATCTATGGAAAGAAACATGTTTTTAATAAATTGGTTCTGTAGCATATTATTAATTGGATTTCAAATCTATATATTTTAATTGCATATAATGTATTCCAGCATAAAAATGCGCTATAAAAAATCAAAGCATTTTAATAAAGTTATGGTAGAAAGCACCTATAATAGCACCAAAAATGAGTTATTACATAATTAAAAAAAAATATAAAGTCGTTATACCAAAGCGTTTAACTAATGCTATGGTAGAATACTCTACCATAACATACGGAAAAAACGCTATCGTATGTGGTCTACCATAACAGGGGCATAAGACAGCGTTTATGAAAACGCTATTAATGACATATAATAGCTCTTTTCTCTAGCTAATAATGTAGATATTTCTTATAGTGAAATTATTCAAAAATGGTAGAACCAATAAATGCCACTCCAAAAAATAGCAAATTCATAATTGATTCCAAAATATTTTCTACAAAGCTGTTAGACGTTTCCAGATTTTTTTCTTTCTTTCAATTCCTCCAATTAGACGATACTATTCACCATTATATCAGATCCAACTACTATCCGACTACATTTACTTCATCTTATAAACAAAAAAATATAGAATGTAAGAAACTCTTTTTTCGGTCAAGTCAATGGAAAGTCAATTTCCACAAAATATGTATCACATCAAACTCAACAAAACATACTAGAACATTGATATTGTAGCTTCAAATGGTATTTCATCTAGAAGCAAAGAAGGTGTTGACAAAAGAAATAAATGTAATGAGAAGTCAAACAAATTGAGGGAGCAAGTGTCAAAGTGATGTATGATGTCATCGAAGAACCTATATCATATCTTGACTCTTCAAATGATGATTCTTTATCCGTACGGTTCACATGTACTTTGTTAGTTTCGTTTATACAAAAGTCAACGCCGAAATCGATATTATTATGAGGAAGAGTTGTCAATTTTCTCTTTGATGTGACATATCTTATCAACAACAACAAAAAAAACTGTTATGTGAAAATATGTTAAAAGCAACAAAAAAAGAAAAGAAAAAGAAGATAAACTAAGGATATTATCTTATCTTAAATCCATAAACTTTGTGGCCTCATTCGGTGGAAATTGGAAAGCCTCAGCCCATAACAGACGAAATAATTTTGGTTAGTGTGAAATAAGCAAAAATAAGCAAATCCATAATGAAACAAACAAAAGTTAAATAATAATCATACTAACTACTAAATATAGTGGATACATATTTCTAACAGAATAATAAATTTTTTAATTAATAATTACACTAATCGATAAAATTAACATGATCTTCAAAATTTTGCGATAATTTATATAAAAAAAGCTCAAATGAATAAAAATTATTAACATCAACTAGAGTTAGTATCGATAGTGCAGTTTTCTGAAGAATGATCCGCATTTTCCAATCTATTAAATGAGTTTGGATTGCTCCATGTTTTTTTTTTCTTTTTTTCTAAGTTCTTCTATTTTCCGTTTACGTAATTTTAAGAGAGATTGTTTAGCTTGTTATTCTAAATTACTATTTTTGAAGTCACATTTGTGAATTCTTTTCTTCCAAATTAAATAACCAATCACAAAATTAATTTTTAATTTATATGTAGTTGATGAGTAAAAAAAGAAAAAAAAAACAACATTCGCAAATTTCATCTTATTTAAAATTAAAACATAACTTAGATTACCGCAAAGTTTGAAACCAAACCATGATCGGTATAATGTTACAAAAATACCGTAATCGGTAGATTTCGTTCCTATAAATCTATAATTATTCTTTCCAAATATGTACACACATACATCACGATAGAAACACCGGATAGATAATTTTAAGATCATTCTTAAATTTTCTAAATCCCAAAGACAGTAAAAATATCGAAATTGGGATTAAACCGGATCATACCGAACATTAAACCCTAAACCTCCACTCTTCTCCCTCTACCAATCACCACCAAACCACTGAAACGGAGCTCTACAAATCGGACACGTCAGCTTATAAAAACACCAAGAATCTATACAATCCACGTGAAACACGTGCTTGCATCTCACAAGAACTCTAACGACGTCGTTTACTTTAAAATCCTCCAAACAAATCACACACACGTCAGCTCTAACTCCGTCACCGTCACCGCCGTCTCCACCGCCGCATTTCGTGAGTCTCACGGCGGGAGGTAACGGCTCACCGGCTTCTTCGTCGCCGATTTCTTCCTTCGGTAGCTTCGGGTACATTACGAAACAAAGGAGAATTATCGATCCGTAGAAGAGGATGATAAAGACTACACAAAGAAGTCTCAACGCTATTGATTCAGATCCCGTCACCGTCGCCATCTCCGGCGACGCCGCCGTCATGTAATCTCCACAACAACTTGATTCCATTATTATTTTTTTATGAAATTGAATTGAAAATTTTGTGAAAGAGTTGATGGAATATTGGGGATGCATAGTGATGTTCTTAAATACGGATTATGTTTTATTGTTTAGTGTTAATTAAGATTAGTGTGTATTGTGTGATGAACTGGTGAAAAACTGAATTAACGCAATTTAGTTATAGTTTTGCGGAGAGGAAGGTGGCGGGAAGGATTAAGAGGAGAATATTCGAGCTAATTAAATTGTTATTCATAATAAGCTTATGAGTTTTTTTTTTTTTTTGATTAATATTGAGCAGATCTATTCATGAATACACAAAACTAACTAAATTTAAATTAAGCTTATGCGCAGTTTTGTTTGTTTTATCTGAAGTTTTTTTCAGTTACTATTTGATGATGGTTTATTACAGCAGTAAAAAAATGATTGATCACATATTTAACTATTTTTTTAGAAAGTTAAAATATACCTGACCTAAATCCACTCGACGCAGCCAGGCCCAGCCCATTGTTTTTTTTGACAAAGGACCTTAAGGCCAACCAAAAATTCGAGGCTCTTTAGTACTATTGCTAAATGACATTCTGTTTTTTTAGGACTTTTGATTCGAATTGAGAAAGATTTTTTTTTTTTTGCCGGTATTCTAAAAAACGGTATAGAAACTCAGACGACGCTTATACCATCTTTTCGTCCGCCTAAAACTACATAGACATCGTTTTGGCGTATTTTTCTAATTTTCAACTAAGTTTTATCTTCATATACATAGTTATAAAAATTCATAGATTGTTTGATATAAACTAAATAAATGTTTTATTTTTTCATGATTTAATTTTTTTATTTATTTCGATACTTAATATAATTGTCATGTATAATATCATATTAGTAACTTTTTTATGTTATTATAATATATTTTATAAACGTTTAAACCGTTTAAAATTCTTTAAGCCTCGACTTGACGTTCTACATGATAGGCATTGGACTATCGCTTGCTTAGCATCTAGCACTTTTTTGAACATTGATTTTTTCTTTTACATCGCGATATTGAATTACATGGAGTTGGGTTGGAAGTGTTCATCGGTACTTGCTTCATCGAAGATTTTTTTAGGTAGTTCCTCAACGACTACCTTGAACACATTCCGGCGATCTCAATTCACAGGAATGAATTTTCTGAATCTGTTCCAAAAAATTTAACTACAAAGAACTATTTCTAATTTTCTATGTTCATCTCTCATTCTTAAAAAAAATATGTTCTTGAAATACACAAGAACTGGAGGATATAATTGTAAAATAACAAAAGTTAAAGTCGGTTCCAACTATTTGTCAATCTTTATAATATGCCCCCAGACTATCTCATCGTTCCTTTTTGCCTCTCTCATCGAATCAGAGGCCATTGACGAAGAAAATTCGAACCTTTCTTCATCAATCATCTCTTCCTAACGATTTCTTCACTCGAATCAGGTAAACAATTTACTCTTCTCTTTCTCTTAGGATCGATTGGAACCCTAGGATCTTCCTTTCACTAGAACCCAGGATTTGTGTGAGTTTTTGTTAGATATTTAGGATCTATCCTTTGAAACCGAAAATTAGTATCTGGGTTTTTGATGATTTGAGTTTAAAACCCTAGATTTCAGCCTAATCTGGGTAATTTCATTAGGTTGTGAAATTTCTAGGGTTTAGATTTCTGTGTAATCTGGGTAAATCGATCAAATTCTATTTTGGAGAAGATATTGATTTGATTAGGTATTAATCGATATCAATCTGTCTGTTTTTGGTTAGGTTTGTGAAGTTTTTTGTAGGGTGTCGAGACGATGCCGGCTACTGCGGGAAGAGTGCGTATGCCCGCAAACAATCGGGTGCATAGTAGTGCAGCGCTTCAGACTCACGGAATATGGCAGAGTGCGATTGGTTATGATCCTTATGCACCAACTAGTAAAGAGGAACCGAAGACGACTCAGCAGAAAACCGAAGATCCTGAGAACTCGTATGCGAGTTTTCAAGGTCTTTTGGCTCTTGCTAGAATTACTGGTTCGAATAACGATGAGGCTCGTGGTTCTTGTAAGAAGTGTGGTCGTGTTGGGCATTTGACGTTTCAGTGTAGGAATTTCTTGAGTACTAAGGATGATAAGGAGAAAGATCCTGCTGCGATTGAGGCTGCGGTTTTGTCGGGGTTGGAGAAGATTAGGAGAGGAGTTGGTAAAGGTGAGTTGGAGGAGGAGAGTAGTGAAGAGGAAGAGGAGAGTGAGAGTTCTGATTCGGATGTTGATTCTGAGATGGAGAGGATTATTGCTGAGAGGTTTGGGAAGAAGAAAGGTGGGGGTAGTAGTGTTAAGAAGACGAGTTCGGTGAGGAAGAAGAAGAAGAAGCGTGTTTCTGATGAGTCTGATTCTGATTCGGATTCTGGAGATAGGAAGAGAAGGCGGAGGTCGAAGAAGAAGCGGAGTTCGCATAAGAGGAGGAGTACGAGTGAGTCTGAGGATGAGGATGAGGGAAGGAGTAAGAGAAGAAAGGAGAGGAGAGGAAGAAAGAGAGATGAAGATGATTCTGATGAGTCTGAGGATGAAGATGACAGACGTGTGAAGAGAAAGAGTAGAAAGGAGAAGAGGAGAAGAAGAAGCCGTCTTAATCATTCTGATGATTCTGATTCAGAGTCTTCTGAAGATGATAGAAGGCAGAAGCGAAGGAACAAAGTTGCTGCTTCTTCTGACTCGGAAGCCAATGTTTCAGGCGATGATGTTTCACGCGTTGGGCGTGGTTCTTCTAAACGGTACGAGAAGAAGAGCAGGAAACGCCATCACAGGAAAGAGTGATAGTAAGATCGATCTCTATCGCCATTTTCACTCTCCATTTCTCTCTATCAATCTATGTACAATATGGAAAATAATGAAACCTCGGTTCTCTGTGGGATTTGATGTGTTGAATTTGCAACGCATAATACTCTTGTTTGGTCTGTTTGTTTCAAGCATGTGTTAACATTTGTGAGATACTATTGTTCATTGTGAGTCTTTTTTCCTCTATTGCTCCAAGACTAATCTTTGATTTGGTTATTGTTGCTAAAGTTTCGATGTTTACATTATTACCTAAATTATTTAAGCTCACGTCGGCAAGTGCGTTGTAAAGAGATCACGAGACTTGTGGGTTGGATGGATTTTGGCATGGCTCTAGACTAAGAGGACAATGTCGTCATTTAAGTGGCTCATTGGTCATTGCTCAATACATATCTCCTCGTGGGTCCTTGTTAATCTCTTCTCCACCGTTGAACCAAAGTAAAATATCCACCGTTAAAGCCACTTTATATCCCAAGAAAATAGTTGAGACTGTTACAGAAACAAGATCAAAGAGAAAAAAATATCCCAAAACCAAAAAACAAAGGAAGAAGAAAGAAGAAGAAGAAGATGCCTTCAAGCACATTCTCCGGTACCGTGAGCACACCGAAGCTGTCGGTGGCGGTTGACATGGGAAACCCTTTTCTCAATCTCACTGTTGATGCCTTCCTCAAGATCGGAGCTGTAAAAAAAACTCATCTCTCTTTGATAGATCATTTTGTTAATTTGTGATCTGTTTCTCATTGTTGTTTTCTCTTTGATGGGTTTAGGTTGGAATCACTAAATCTCTTGCAGAAGACACTTACAAGGCCATCGACAAAGGTAAGCCCTCAACTTTATCAAACACAATACATAAGTGTTACTTCTTGTTCGGTCTATGTTTATTATTATATAACTTTACTGTTTTGATTTTGATGAATGAGTAAAGGCATAGAAGAAGTTTTAGTGTTTCCTTTTACTAAATCCCTAAGACAATCTTTTTATATATGCATGATTGTATCTAGAACACTAGTGTACACATTTGATGGATCTGTTTTTGTGCTTATCATTTATGACTTTTGTTTGTTGGAGCTGCAAAATATCATTTTTTACTCCATGGTTCATATATTGTAGGGAGTCTCTCCAAGAGCACTTTGGAGCATGCGGTGAGTACACTACTGAATCAAATCTCTGTGTTTTGGTTTGAAGAAATGTGTCATTTGTTTTAGTTTTCTGAAATTTCTGCTAAATACTTTTGCAGCTTAAGAAGTTGTGTAAAGAAGGTGTTTACTGGGGTAAGTTGCTTTCTAATTCATTGTAGTGTTTCAGCTTAAGTAAAGTTTAAAGTTTGCAACATATGAAAATGTTCAGGAGCTGCGGGTGGAGTTTATATTGGAACGGAATACGGAATCGAACGTATCCGTGGCAGCAGAGATTGGGTACTAATACATTTCACACTCTTTTCAGTTTAAGATAAGTTTGTAGATCTTATAAACTGATTGGTTGGGTTTTTGTATCAGAAAAACGCAATGTTAGCAGGCGCGGCGACAGGAGCAGTGCTCTCTGCGGTTGGTAAGAAAGGCAAAGACACTATCGTGATCGATGCCATTCTTGGTGGCGCGCTTGCAACCGCTTCTCAGTTCATTAACAATCATTATTTCTACTGATTTTCAATCTTCCTATAGGGACCAATTCTGGTTTCCAAAGTTGGTTCATATGGTGTGGATTCCTTTGTTTACTTTGCTCTTTCAATAAAAAAACAATGTAGCGTTTTTGAATGAATACATTTGAGTATTGTTAATTTGCAATTTAGCTATTTTAAATATGAGAAATCCCTCAAAACAATGAAAATTTGTATAGAAAGTAGTAATGATTTTGTGGTTTCTATAAAACTCAACCATAACGAGTTGTCCGATGTTACTAACTTATCAATATAGTGACACAGAGCGAATAATTAAGTCAAGGTTTTATTATTTTATGAAGAAATTGGCTAAAAATAATGCATCTAGAATAGTTAGATTTTAGCTATTTGATTTTTGTCCAAAAAAAAAAAATTCTATTTGATAACCGGATATTTATTTCGGCCAATCATATTACAAAACAAAAATATATTGTCTTTTTAAGAAACTCTTAAAACGAGATTGGGCTTTTGATGATGAATGGATGGGATTAGATTTAGAAATTCAGTTTTGGGCCTTAATGTAGAAGTCTCAACAGAACACACATTATCTAATAAATTTTCAACACATATTATTGAAGTTGTTGGTGTAAGAGTGTGTCTTGGTGTGTGTTCACTTAAAGTATGTAAGTAGTGGAGAAAAAAGGTGGTGGAGATGAAGGTGACAATGCTGTCTGCAACAATTCTTATGCATTTGTGTTTGCTTAATGGCTACCATCTTCCCCTCTCTCTCTTATGCAACTCTGGTGGGAAAGCAGAGTCAAATAGACTTAACCACTAAATGCACATGCCCGAAAATTTCATCTTATGCAACCAAAAGAGGTGAAAAACTATAATATATAGTCTATATATACATTTTTTAAAGAACTAAAGTTTATCTATAGGATAAATCAAGATGGCTAATCTATCTTGATTTATTGTTTCACTTGTTTGGGTCTATCAAAATATATGCATAAAAATATTCGTATAATCTAATAATGACAAGTGAGAATAAAATGAAACTTAATAATAGTTTCAAATTTAGGAGAGTAACATGTATATTCCATATACTTCCATAATACTGCAGAAGTGGGTTGAAGATGAGTCAAGACAACAATGCTTTAGTGCCAGCAAAGCCATAAAGATCCACCAAATCAATTGACTGACATAAAAGACCCACTTCTCTTATTATTCTTACGAACTAATCCCCACCATTAAGGGCCACTAATCCAATTTTTTATTCGTTTTCATAAAGTCAATATTATTTAAGAAGCAAATTAGTATTTTTACTCCATCTCTCTCAAAATATATATAAGGTCAGTGATGCAACAAGTAGTCTTTATTTTATATTTTTTACATTTTACTTTCTTCCATGCATGTTTTTTTAAATAGTTCTTCTAATAAGTAATTTGACCCGTATATATAAAATCATTAATTTAGTGTCTTCTGGATGGTACGAAACTTAAAATATAACCTTAGTGTTAACTATATTGTTCTGCATGTTTTATGAAACTGATTCAAATTCTAATATAATCTTGAAGTTGATATTTATAGCATTGACTTTTTTTTTCCATCTGTTTCAATAATTGTATTTGCCAGAACATCTTGGGATTTTAATAAGGTTTGAAGAAAATCAATTCCAAAAATTCAAATATTTTTCTTATGAAGATATCTTAATGAAAAATTTTATCATGACATTATATTTTAATATGGAAGCATACATGGAGAGGGGAATGGAGAGTTCCCCACTTGCAATATCACAAATGATGATGGACCTTGAATTATCAAGTGTTATTAAGATAAATGATTATTAAAGTTGAAATGTTAATTAACTATATCTTCAAAACAAATCTCAACCTTAAAAACCTAATATGCTATTCTTTTACTAGTTAATTAAAAAGCAAATGCGCAAGTTGGATATGTCTCCACTTATCTTTTCATGATTTTTTGTCAACATGTTAAAATATACATTTTGGTGGTTTTTATTTTGTCTTTGAAGTATGAACGCAATTATTTAATAAGAGAAGACCCACTCTTCCTTATATTATTTTCTTTAATTCTTTATGTCTAATGATAAATGTATTTGACATTTTGTTCTTCTTTGAAACTTGCCCCTGAGTTACCACGTGTCTACTAGATTGATTTAACTCAGTAAGATCTTGATTATTCTCTCTGTTTTCGAATAATTGTCGTTTAGAGAAATTTTTTTATTTTTAATTAGTTGTCGTTTTCAGTTTTTGATGCAAAATTTATTACTTTTTTATTTTTTATATTTATTTTTATTATGCAACTTGATTTACTATTGGTTAAATTATGTTTAAGTAGATAATTAATGATATTTTTATATTGAAAAACTAACAACATTAATAGTTTCTTAATTTGTGTGCATATAGTTAAAACGACAACTATTCGAAAACGGAGAGAGTATTACCTAAGCAAATTGAGAATTAAATTGAGTAAAATTAAACATTTGCGCAAAGACAACAAATGGTTTTATCATTCTCAATGATTTGCTTGCACTCTTCGCATGCATCAATTTGTGGATTACCTTCTCAGTTTATCTATAAGACGATTTTTCGACACCGTCTCTTATATGGCAACGGCTCAACTAATACTGAAGAAAAATCAATTAAATTATGTAATATATAAATTTATATTTTGTGACCAAGTCTTGATCTTAAAATTTCAAAATTTTCTGGTTGGCGAGATAGGTCATGGTCTCACCTTCTAGCTCTACATTTTCAAACGATTCTAGGAGATTTATTGTTTTAGGATACCAAACAAAACCTTCGTTACATTTTTAACAGGGCAGGGAAGTAATATTGGTTTAGGGCATAGAAAGTTTCAAAATCATGCATTCTACTTATTTTCGAGTGATTTAAAAAAAAAATCTATAAATGTTTTTAATAGACAACCCTCTTTTCGGAAAAAATGATCCTTTTTTGTGTTAGAAAATAGATGTTAACCCGCGGTACACCGCGGGTCTATATTTTTATTAGAAAAATTTATTAAATTTTGTTTTAAGATAATCTATAGATATATACTATTGTTTTGTTTAATTTAAATGTATAATACACCGTGAGACAAAATTTTATTACAAAAATTGAAATTTTATAGATAGACGTAGTATAAAAACAATAGATTCAATTGTATGATTTTGAATAAGATGCTGATTTAACCCGTCTTATACTGATTTTACCCACGGTATACCGTATGCTAAATTTTAAATAATAAAATGAGGATTTAATATGTGTTATTGCGATGTATTAGTGATATTTTAAATTTATATTAATATCAATCCTAACCAAACCCGTGTCATTCAATTCGTCCCGTAATATTTAAAACTATTTTATAAAAACTCAAAAACCATAGCTAAATGGGCAAACAAAAGCCAAAAAATTTAAATATATCAATTAGAAATTTTTGAATTAGAATTTTTTGAATTAGAAATTTTTGAATTTAATTAGAAAAGATTTCTCCATAATTTTAAATCTTACGTATTTAATGTATTTATGAAGATTTGATATTTGAATTTATTTGAGAACATTACTTATTTTTAGCAATTTCAGAA